GAATATAGTAGTTTAGCGATTTGTATATAAGCCTAGCTAGCTGAGAGCATTTTTATAATCTACTTCTGATAAATAAATAAAGGTAGGATCGCTGAAGTAAAAAAATAAAAAAAAAGAATTTAATTATAATATATATATATTTTTTTAATAAAATTAATATAAAGTTGATCAAAATCTTGATAAGTTAGCTATATTAGATTAAGATTATCTGTAGTTCTAGTTAATTTTTGTTATGATTTTGATTAGTAAATCAAAAAGTAATAATTTATTTATTATCTATAAAAAAAAAGAAATTAGTAAAGAATTAAAATAGTCAGATATTATATTGTTTATTATTCAAAATTTTAGTTCTGACTAAATACTTTCAAGCTAGTAATAGTATTAATACTTGCCAAAAAACTAGTAACTAATTTATTTACTTATAAAAAGCTAGTAAAAGCTTGAAAACTTATTTAAACATCTTTATATAGACTAGTATAAATCTATACATAGATACTTTATTAATATTGCTAAAATTATCTTAATTTTTATAGGTTTTCATATTTAGATAAGTTAATAAGTTGTTTATTTTCTTGTGTTTAGACAAATTAAAAATTGTTAAAATTATTTCAAGTTTTGTATATCATATATAATATTATCAAAATTATTCAAGTTTTTTAAATTTCATATATTGTATATTTGAGTTAAATTATTTCTTAAGATATCTATATATAGATAGAGCTACTAATAGCATAACTTAGACACTCTTATCAAGTTGTAATACTAATAGTTGACTAAACATTTTCTAAAAGCCAGTATAGATAACAAAAGAAATTCTTATAATAAACCAAGGTTGTTACTTTAAATAAAACATACCAGTACCATATAAATTACAAAATCTCAGTATATATCTATTAAGAAAAATACATAACTGATTCCTTTTCCAAAACTAGTAGATTAAAGTAAACAATCTTCTGTTTTTAAAATCATTCACAAATATAATACAGGTTACCCTCATTAATATTAACCTATTTGAATTAGATTTAAATCATGTTAATAGTGATATTAATGAAAAATCATATTAAAGTTGATATATATGAGGGAATTTTGATATATAAAAATTTATAAAAATTTGGTTTGTGGCTTGGGTTGATATTAACGAGGTTGATATTAACGGGACAACCTCTACTAACCTGTTAACATGTTTAAAAATAATTATTTTTTCAAATAAAAATAATTTTATAACATGCATAAAAAAATATATATCTTTAACTAAAAGGTTTATTATTATACAAAAAAATAATTTTTTGATGTTTATTTATTTATGTAGCAGAAAAACAAAAATAATTGTGTTACTTATTTTTTAGCAAACAATCCTAAAAAGAAATTCTGTATGTAGATCTCAAAATGTAAAACTATTTGAAATCAATTGCTTGAATCACGTTGTAGATAATATGATATCATATGAGTGTCGCCAAGGGAAATGTCACTCTGTAAATTATAGTATATTATTGATTATTTATCTGATTCAGCCCTTCTGACCAATGAACGCACCTAGTGTTGCCACCAAAATCATTTATGTAATCGCTTTTTAAATTTTAATCTGCGCATAGAATAACAGGATCACAAGAGTGCGAAATTTTTAAAAAAATAACTGAAGTTTTTTTATATATTCAACTAATTCGAATATATTTAATTATTGCTACATTCAATTCAAATCTATAAAATGCATTTATATCCAAATTCAAATTTTATTTAGTACACGTATAAACTTTAAATTTTTTGCTTATTAATTACTTACAAAATGGCCAACATGATTTGCTCCAAATTCTTCTTGAATTCCATCCTCAGCAAGCGAAAATTCTCTGTTTTATTATGTTGATTTATTCAAAACATTCTTATAGCTACAAGTGAAATTACAAGTAAAAAGAAATTAGTAATAATAATATCCTGATCCGTTTGGAATTAGCGGAAATGGAGTTTCCGCTTATTCATGATCTTGATATAGTGATCGGGGATTATATTTTTAACATTATTACTTGCGATTCCCGCATTGTTAATTCTGATAAAAAAAATCAATTAATTAGGTTAAAATTTGTAAATTTTAAACTATTGTATACTAATCATAATAATAGAACTTACAGAATGTGCAATGGTAAATTCCTGGCCAAATTTTTCGGCACATTCTTTACCGGATTTTAAACTTTTTAAATTCAACTGCAAAAATTCAACATTTCGATTATCAGTCTTGGATTTGAGTTTTTCGACGGCAACCTGACCTCTTTCGATACTACGACTTAATACGAACACATGAGCGTTGTTTCTGGCCAATTCTCTGCACGTAATATATGCAATCCCAGCATTTTCTCCCGTAATGACTGCAACCTAGTTTATGCTTAATAATTGTGGCTAACGTTTATAGCTATAGCTATTATTATTGTTCATTTTTGGTAATCGCATACGTAGTATTTTTTTTTTGTTATAAATACATTTATTCAACAAACGATTTTTTTTTTTTTGAGCGTGCTGCGCAACATTGCATCTGGAAGTTCTGAAACAGGACTTTGAAGAGCCGCTAATTATGCACACACTACGTATAGAATATGGAACCTTCTACAGTCGTTTGCAATTTGTGAAAAACGTCAAATTTTCAGTGAAACTAAGTTCTAAGCTCTAATTAAACTATGAAAAAAGCAATCAAATCTTCTAGAAAAAAATATTAACGTAATACCAAATGCAAACGATTATTTCTTAGCACTAACTAATAAATGAGAGCTGCACAAGGAAAACCTGTAAGTAAAATTTAATTCATTAAAATATTGTACGATTTTGACCAATCAAATTTCAAGATCAGGCTGATCTTGAAATTTGATTGGTCAAAATCGTACAATATTTTAACGAATAAAATTTTACTTACAGGTTTCCTTGTGCAGCTCTCAAATAATAAATAATAAGGTATCCGGATAAACGGGTAATTGTGTAATAGAATGGAAACCATATTTGGCAGCATAGAAAAAATTCAAGAAAAGAATTAAAGCATATAAATAATACATGGTTATGCATGGTTATAAATTTTCTTGACGGGTACAATCACTATTCATCATCAAATCATTTTTATAATAAAAACTTTATTTAAATTATATTTAACTTTACAAACCCAATGTAGATTTATATAGAATTTTTATATAAGTTTATATATTTTTTTATATAGAATTACAAAATTTTTAGTTTAAATAGTAGGAAAAAATAACTCAAAACTTTGACTATGAAATTGTCTTTTACGTACTAACAAATAGGCTTTCTTAGTGAAATTTCGTATAACTATAGTCATCTAACTCTAATTCTAACTTACTAGTGATGCCCTAACTTTTAATTTAATAGCGAAATGTTTTTTTTTAGCGAAAAAAATTTTTAATGATTGTAACTGTTCTAGCGTTATCCGGTCAAATCAAATTTAAAGGTTGTGTGGCTAGGTCTATATGTCTAACCTTAATTGTAAATGTAACGGTAAATAAAAAAATTCATTCTTCCAATATCAAAAAACCACCTGTTTATTAGTGATGTGAATTTTTGTCATGAATCTTGCCTTCAGATTAACATTTAGAAAAAAACGATTGCATTATGAGACTTTTAGGGAGAAAATTTTTTGTTGTGTTTGTCAAAGTTTGAAAAAACCAAATATATATGTATATGAGCATAGCGTATTTCCATTTTTTAACTTTATACAATAATAAATCCAATCGTAAAGATCGTATATATTTAAAAGATAAAAAAGATAAAATATTTTTAAAAGAATAAAAGTCTAGAAATAAACATTGATAAAACTCTTAAAATATTTGCATAATTTTTTGAATCAAAAGAAGGTAGTGTTTCTCTAACATCAACACCAACCAACTAAGCCTAGTAATTACAAGGGCAATGGTAATAGAAGAGATAGTAACACAAGAGATTTTCCAGGCATTTGTTTCGGGCACATAAATATGTTTTCTAGGTAAAATCCTATAGCAATGAGTATCTAACCAAATGTAGTAAGCAAAAACA